CAATTTCTCTGGCGTCAAAAGTGGGTAAAAGACAGTTATATCATAACAGGAGCAAGCTGGACTAGAGACATAATAAACTGTGATTTGGATATTTCCAAGCTGTGAGTTGACAATTAATTTTCTGTTTATTAAACTTATTAATAAACTCTTAAGTTCAGCTTTTGGCTGCCAAGGCTTAGTTGCTGGCCATCCATTTTTAACGTAGGAGAGTATTCTGGGTAAGACAGCTGACCTGTCCACCTGACTTGGCTTATGTGAAAGCTGCAGCTGAGAAACGGCAGAATACCAATTGAAAGAAAAGGCAATACACGTCTCAGAGGAGGCATGTAAACAAGATTGGACCAGAGAGCTTGGGCTCAATAATTTTCATTTGTACAATTTCCTGCTGAAGAATTGCAAACAGTCCACAGTGAGATTTGTGGAATTGTCAGAATTCTCAGTGGATAAAAAAAAGCTAATAAACACTAAAATATCTGCATGTAAACACAACAAGTAGTAAATGAGAAAATATGTTTGTGATTTGGGTGGATTGACTCTTTAAAGCTGATCATCAAGCTCGTTTTAACAGATACATTTTCACAACTGCGGAGCTCCTTAACTGAGCCAGGTACAGAACATTGAGCATTCAGCAGTATCCACGGACATGCCTATTTCTGCACAGTGGGGGACGTTCACCTCTCGGAACACATTTATTTCCTCCATGGGAGTGATGAAAGTAACAAAAACCAGAAACCATAATGTATGGTGAACTTGATTCTGATCACACACTCCAACATGGCTGCATACTACACCATGAATGCAGTGTTTTAGAAGTCACTGGCATAACTGACCTACCTTGGATCATGTGTTTGCACTGCTGGCAGCTGGTAGGCCTACGGAAGACGTGCTCTTGGAAACAGTGGGTCTTGACCGGCTGCACCGGCTGGGCCTGAGACTTTAGCTGGGTTTTGGAAGTCACGGACAGCGAGGGACTGACAGAAGGCGAGTGTGATGACAATGAGGGGTTTGGACTGACAGACGGGGAATGGGAGGGAGAGCGCTCGTAGGCCAGGGGGGATTCAGAGAAGGGGGGAGGCGATGGCGGGGGAGGGGGTGTGGGGATGAGGGCTGAGGGAGGGC